TGATGATGTATTTCCAGTGTCCATGTACTTTGTATGGCTCACAATTTCCCATGATCAACTTAAGTCCAGTGAAATCTGATTGAGGCTAAGGATTTGTTGCTTTTGACATAACCTCATGATTTTTCATCTTTGTCTCAACTGTATTAGGTTTAAAAACTACACTTTGCACTTTGAGTTTTTCCTTTTCCTCTTTTTTTTTTTTTAAATAAGAGCAACATGCAATGAAACTTCAAGCACAGAAGAGTACTGTAAAAGGATGAAGGTATAAATATGAAAACAACAGCAGTATGTGGCTGAGACGTGGATCACTCAGTGATAATCCTGAGTGCTTGTTCTTGTTTTGAGATGTGAAAGTCCACACTCTAATATACTAAAGACAGATAGGGGTGGGTATCAGTGTATGACTTAGGAATATGTAGGCTATAAAAATTGAGGCATGCCTATAATTTGCTATGTACTAATTCATATTGAACTTATGTCCAAATTGGTGAAGGTCTTCTCATTTTTCTTTTTATTTATTTTTAAGTCAATTGAGTTAAAGATAACTTTAAGAATTTTAAATATTTGGTGGGTCTAAAACCAGGATTGTTATTTTTCACTGTTATAAAACCTTTTGACAGAAACTTTAACCTGGAGAATTAAATGAATGGGCTTCTGTTGGAACTATATACAAAATATGGGTCCTTTTTCTCAGGAAAGAGTCTATAATTTTTCTCAGTTTCTCATAGGGATCAGCGACCTAAAAGGGTTATAACTCACTAAGATAACACACAAAAAGTTTACCTTTTTCAAAAATATGGTTTAGAAATAAAGTATAGACAATCTAAATTGAAGTGGCAAAACCTATGGATTATGATGAGATTTAAGTAGAAGCTTAAATAAACGTACAAAGCTTAAGTCAGTTATAAACTCATCACATCTTTTCTAAAAGGAAAATACTTCCTAATAAAAGGTCATGTATTAACTCTTATCTGTTCCAGAATCTTTGGGTTTTATCATTTTTTAAGTTAAAAAATTAATTCTTTGCTTCAGATTAACACAGATATTCACACTAATATAAAGCCCTTTTTCTTTTTTTTTACTTTTAAACATCTCAAGCTATTTTCTGCTTTTTTATTTAGGATGTTAAGTAAAAGGAAAGAGAATGATAGATTTTTTTCTTAAAAAAAACCCCAAAACCTGGTTTAGTGTTAGCATTTTCTGCCTATTCACAGTTTCTATTTTAAAGTGAAATTGGCAAAATCTTATTGTTTCAATAAGTGATTTAAGTTTTAGCTCCCTTTTTTGTAACTTAAAGCTAGAGATTAGAGTCTTTATCTCTTGCCACAAACAAGGGATATGGAACTTATTTTTTTCTTACAAAGATTTTTTTTTGTCAGTTGCATTTAAGAGAAGGATTAAAAATGTGGAGTCCCTTTCATATTCCCCTATCCCTTTACCAATGTTCTATTATGAAAAATCTCTGAACATATAGAAAAGTTGAAAGAATTGTATAGGTGAACCTTGAACATGTATCTATCCATACCTTAATCCATTAATCCATATGTGGACGTAAGTATACTTCACTCCTAAAAACTTGAGTATACCATTTAACTTGCTCTCATATTTTTTAAAATTTTATGAAAATAATGTCTTTCTCGTGGAATCAGTCTTGATCTTAATCCTTTAAGGTTAAGGCTAATTTATAGTTGTGCTATGTCCTTCATCGCTGCTGCTTCCTAAAACAAAAGGTGCTTCTCAGAAGACATATATGTAGCATATGAATAGCAAGATTCAAAAGAAGGCTGTGAAAGTTTCTTACATGTCTTTTTCCGATGCTTTAGTTTTTTGTTTTCTGTAAGGAACATTGCCTGAGAATATGCGGTGCAAATTAAATCTTATTTATGGATAAAATTTTTAGATTAAGAATTGAAGGCAAAACCTAATCTATAAGGATCAAATATGGTGAAGCCAAACAAGCAGGTCAGTATATAAGTAAGTAGGCTTTAGAGGTGTTTATCCTAACTATATTTGGGTTTGTTTTCTATTTGAGATACAATTATTTTAAGCAATTACCTCTTTTGACTACTATATTTTAATATGACTACAGTGTCCAAAAATTCTGTTTCTAAGTAATAAAATAGAAAAAAAATTGTTCAAATTTTGATGTAAAGGTTACCTACTTACCTTCTGTAACACTTAAATTAGTTCTTAGGATAACTTTTGTATTTTCTGTTGCATAGGCTTTGTGATCTTTAATGGGATTATTTAAGCCCTAAATATTAGACGGACTGTTTGGAGATCACTCTTTGACCAAATACTTAGTCCTGGACATTTTAACTGATGCGGCCTTTAGAAAGTTCCTCAAGCTATAATTTCTTCCCGAGACACTGCTTGACTCCAACTAGCCTCCCTTCAAAAATGATTTTTGCATGAGTTGCATTTTAAATTATCTTTCCCTTTCTTTTTATGTTTTTAGAAAATAATTCAAAATTTGGAAATAGCAACTTTGATCTTGAAGTGCTCTCCAGTGTGTATACATTTTTATTCTAGAGAAAATTAATGATAAATTTAAAACTGAATATACTTGATTTGGAATACTGACATTGATCTCTCGTATTACCTATGGTGAACCTTTTGTTCTTTTAATGTACGAAAGAGATGTTTTGTTAGAAATTCCCCCTTTCCAAGAAAATTAATGATAAATTTAAAACTGAATATACTTGATTTGGAATACTGACATTGATCTCTGGTATTACCTATGGTGAACCTTTTGTTCTTTTAATGTACGAAAGAGATGTTTTGTTAGAAATTCCCCCTTTCCAGGTAAAGTTACCAAAATAAGACATATTGAATGCTAACTTTTGTTAGCTTCTTAGCAGTCATAGAAGCATTTAGATATCTAAGCTGATGTTTAGTTTTTGAGCTTTTGCAGAATTGCTTATCTGAAACATATAAGTAAACTGTTAGTATTCCATAGATTTAATAATGAGTGTTTACTGTGTATAGGCACTGTACCAAAGCAGCCGTTTATAGACATTATCCCATTTATTACTCACTGCAATCCTATCTCCAATGCCCCTGAATGGTTACATTCAGTTGTATGTCTTTCAGTAAGTAATTCTATTTGTGTTAAATTGAATGGCTTTAATATAGTGGAATCTTATCTTAGTGGGTAATAGTCTTTCTTCAAATTTTTAGAATTGGTGTTTTTTGATACTTCATGGAAAAAGGGGTATTGGAAACAGCATAGTAGATGTTCAGTGCTGGATAGGGTGCTAAACCTTTTATATTTAATTCTCTTGAACCTATAGGAAAGTATTATCATTGAAGATACTAAGACTAGGGTTAATTTGTGTAAATTGAGTGGTTAATCTGGGTTTGGTTTGACTTCAAAGCCGTGTTCTTTCTGGTACATAGCCCAGTACATGAAATTACTTGTCATTTTATTTATACAAAAATCCAGAACGATGATTTTTGCCTTAAACAAATAGAATAAAAGACATATTTATTTATAGAAAAGGAATTTGGGGGAAAGTTTATAAAAATCACTTGAATACTAATAAATGAGAAGCTTGCTTGAAAGAATACAGGTGAAAAGACCTAGGTTAAACTCATTGCTTACCTGACCTGATATAGGAAGAGGATGATATGGTTTCTCTCCAATGTGTAGTTTTTCCATCTTCCTACTACTTTCTCTTCTGAGAGAGAAAAATGTTAAGTGACATTTATTACAAGAATATTTGTAGGATAAATAACAATATATTTGTGAAATTCCTTGGGATCTTAGGACAAGGTGAAATAATTTTTATCAGTTATGCTACTATTACTTTAGGGGGAGCTAAGGAATTAAACCGAAACCAATTCCTTAATGTTTATAGTGCAGTCATTTTTATTATCTCAAGAGTGATTATCTGTGTTGCAGTTTATCCTAATTTCAATTTGACAGTATCTACTTTTTCTTTTAAATTATTTGTTGGTGATTTTCTGTTTTTGTTATTTAAAAAAAAATTTTTTTTTTTTGTCATTTTCATGACCGGTAAGGGGATCGCAACCCTTGGTGTGGTGTCGCCCACACTGCACTCAGCCAGTGAGCGCACCGGCCATTCCTATATAGGATCTGAACCCACGGCGGGAGCATCGCTGCGCTCCCAGCCCCGCACTCTCCCGAGTGTGCCACGGGCTCGGCCCCATTATTTTTAAAAATTGACAACGCCCTTCTGCTTACAAAAAATTTCATTGCTCTGATTTTGCCTGCAGCCTGTGTCCTAGCAGGGAACCCTAAGGGGGTTCATTTCTAGAAAGTGTGAGAACTAAGTAGGGCTCATAGCATGAAAACACAACCATCTCTGATCCTACAGAATTACATCTTTTGGTTGTTTGAAGTTAATTTATTTGGTAGCTGTGTTTCAATATAACATGAAACAGACTCCAAAACAAATTGAAATGCTTTTTGTGTTAGCTCTACCTAATATCTTCTACCCCCAGTTGATTCTCTCTCACCTTAATCACATTAGTATGAATAATTGAAGAGTTGATGACACCACATTTTTCAGCCTAAAGTTTTCTGATGAGGACCAAAGCATCTGATCAGATTTCATGTTCATGATTTCTACTTCACAGCCAGTGTTTATTCACTCAGAATCTTTATTAAATCTCTTCTTCCTTCATCTTGAGTCCCTGTTTGTTTCCAAACATCAGGCCTTCCTTCCCTGTCTCTCTTAATTTCCACATTTTATTTAGTCCAGATGATCTTCCACCTTAGGAAACACAAATTCTCAAGATGTGAGTGTTCTTCTAAAAGCCAAAGTCCCTGGAAGGTCTTAATTCTTTAATAAATTTATAGTAAAATAATGCCATTGCTAAACTTTGTGAAAACAGGGTTTTAAAATTTAAAAAAACCCTTTAATCTGTAAATTGCTAAAGTTAGGTTTTCTATTAGCTTGTCTTATGATACATAGCATACTGAAAGAATTGTTAATTTGTGTACTCATTTAGTATTTGGTGTTTTTTGTCAACAGGAAGAAGGTAGATAATGACTATAATGCCCTTCAGGAAAGACTCAGTACCTTGCCTGATAAGTTGTCTTATAATATCATGGTATGTTTGGTGTGTTTCTTTTAAAGTAATATGTTGTTTCTTATAAATATATTAACTATGTAAAACAATATGGTATTTCTTTGCTATATGTGTATCAGTTCACAGATTGCCAAGCTGATATGGACTATGTCATAGGTAACTACCATATCAAGGAAGTTTTACTTTATAATACACTAATTGTAGTAATAGTTGGTATTTACTTTTTTGTGTGTATATAAAATTATCACATTATGGTGACACATGACATAAATGTTAGCACAAAATTTGACATACTTGGTATGCAAATTTACTACGTAAAAAACTGTAATTATGACAAAAATATGGCACTTAGTCATTTCCTGTTAGCCAGAGCAGGAATAGGCCATAAGGTTTTGTAATTCACAGAATTAAACCCTAGAGCATTGATTTTTATATAAAAAGGTACTGCTAATTTTTGTTTTAGTGATCTTTATATTGACAAAGCGATCTGTTCCTGAGCCCTGGATTAGAATGATTCATTGCATGAATATTCTACCCCAAATATATTGTAAGTGTAGCTAGGTGGAACCATTAAAGTTATTTGCTTGGTAATTCCTGCTTTGCAAAAAATAGTTATTTTATTAGAAATAATTTTCAGTTTTCTTTATCAAAAATATTCTCGATAATATTTTCCTACTAGTTTGCTTTCATTTAGATTTATGAGCGAACAAAATGTATAAACATTCTGGGACAATACTACTACCTTTAAGATCTGTATCTAAATGTGGTGCAAATTTATTTTCCTGCTTTAACATTGATTTATTAGCCTAAGGCAATTTTCTATAGATTTTCGTAGTGAAATTTTAGTATGATGTTAAATTTCTGTGAAATTGACATTTTATTTTTCTCAATGTATAAACTTTAATGTTGTTTCATAAAAAAGTATTTTTTAGTGTTTTAAGTTTTTTACCTTTTTTTTTTTTTTAAATAATAGGTACCATTTGGCCCTTTTGCCTTCATGCCAGGAAAACTTGTCCATACTAATGAAGTCACTGTTTTACTTGGGGACAACTGGTTTGCAAAGTGCTCAGCAAAGCAGGCTGTAGGTTTAGTTGAACACCGGAAAGAACGTAAGTACCAATTATAAATGATGTTTCTTTCTTATATATGTATCAGTTCACAAATTGCCAAGCTTGATGAACTGTTACCAAAAATATCTTCCATGATTAATTAGTCCAGCCTATTTGTGATTCTATTGAATCATAGGTAGTTTGAGTAGAACCAACATTTGAAAATGAGCTGGAGAATAGAACATCTGGGTTGGAAATATCACCCACATTGGCATGTTTTCAGAAATTATAGAATGTAAATGTCATTACATGGTTTTGTGGATAGAATTTGGGAAGACATAAGAATTAGGGTCAATTTGTACTTTATAATTGGTTTGCTTTAGTTGCTTTTGTACACTTACTTTTCCTTTTAATATTAACTTTAATACACAGAAGTAATTTACTTTTTGCTTAGTGAACTAGGAGAAATATCTGTTTACAAAAGTAGCAAATCACTAAGAATGCTTTATGGTTTGGAAGAAGTCATATTTTCATTTTATAGAAGAGACCGGGTATGGAAACGTGCTACCTAAAATGGCACCCTTAGACTTTTTAAAAGTGGTTTGAAGTCTCTGCCTAGTTTTTTTAAGGTACTTTTTAGATTTGTTTATTCATGATATTATTTGTTGGTTTGTGCCACTCTACACACACACACACACACACACACACACACACATTTTGCATTTGGATGGGTTAGCTTGGGTTCTAGCTTACTTGTATTTAAAATTAGGTTTATTTATTTAATTTCTAATCTGTGTTCTTAGTTCTATAATAGCATATTCAAACTGATCGTATAATATCACCCCACCTGCTTTTTAACCTTCTAGTTAAATGTATGTTTGAAAATACATTTTATGAGAATTCTTCTGTGTAAATGAGGTCATACTAGATAGAAAACAGCTGAGTTTTCTAAAGCTGAAATTATATCACTTATATATGAGTGGGTACCAGTTGGAGAACTCATTTACTCAGTGAAAATTCTGGGAACTATATTTGGAGACTCTAATTGCAAATCAACTCCTATAAGTTTATAATTGATATATATTTTGATCTTTTGTGACACTAATCAGGATCTTATTGTTAGGCCTGTATATAATTTTTGGCAATGATAAATCTTTTGGCTTCGCTACATTAAAATAAGTCATGAATATTAGACAAAATAGAATGGGCGTAATTCTTTCTTAAAGACCTTTTTCAATGGGGAGGGCTTTTTTTATTAACTGGGATAGCTCTGCTGATAAGAAATCAGCTCATAGCCTATTGAGGTTTGTTCACTTTGATTTTACTATTTCTGTGGAGAAATTTTTAGAATCAGTTTTGACTTGAAATGTTAATGGTGGAATACTTTTAATACAATAAAATAGAGCTTTAGAGTAGAGAAACATTTTTTGGTTAATTACTTTCCAATAAGTTAAATATGATTTTGGAAAGAGACCAAATGTGATGACTTTTGTGGTCAATATTTATCTAATATATTCAAAGCACATATTTATTTGTCCGAGAACCTATTACGACAAATGAACTTTAAAAAGTTGTTCTAGTCCCAGTTTTATAATGATAATAACTAAAGAAAATGTTTAGGTATATTATTGTACTTAACATTTATAAAGAAAAGATAGTTTATTTTTTTAAGACAGAAGAAATGTAACAAGTTAAACATACAGTCACGTACCTCACTGTTGACTGGGTTAATTGGGGAAGGTTGAGGGAGATCATTGCGTGTCAGAAGAGGGACAGGTGGATTTAACAACAACAGTGGATTGAGAGGAGGTGGCCATGAGTTTATAGGATAATGATTTTTAAGAGGAAGAGGGCAAGCTTCAATGCTCCCACTTTTTGTGCTCATATCTTGTGTTTTTTTGCCATTTAATAAGAATATGACCATCTTTAAAAATTTTTTTTCAAGTTTTAAATTATCATAGAGTGAAATTGACTTTTTATTTGGTATACCGCTACTGCTCTGTGAGTTACAGCACATTTTGATTTGTTTAACCAGCACCACAATCAGGAAACCAAATAGAATACAAAATATACTATAATCAGGATGCAGGATCACACCAAAAACTGCTTCATGTTGCCCCTGTGTGGTCACACCCTACTTTTATCCCTGAGGTTTGACAACCACTGATTTGTTCTCTATCACTGTTAATTTTGCCTTTTTTAGAATGTCATATAGATGGAATCATACAGCCTCTCTTGAGACTGGCTTCTCTCACTCACTATAATGCCTCATCCAAGTTGTTCTACATATCAAAAGTTTATTCCTTTTTATTGCTGAGTAGTGTTCCATTATATGCATGTACCATAATTTTTCTGTTCACTTGTTGAAGAACATTTGGGTTGCTTCTGTTTTTTGGCAATTTTGAAAGATCTGCTGTAAACCTTTGTGTACAGGTTTTTGTGTGAACATAAATTTCCATTACTGTCTCTAAGTACCTACAAGTGGGATTGCTAGGTCATATGGTAAGTATACACCAGTTTTTAAGAAACGACCAAGCTGTTTTCCAAAGTGGCTGTTGGATTTTACATCTCTGTCAGCAGTTTGAGAGTTATAATAACTTTGCATACTTACGAGTACTTGGTTTTGTCAGTATTGGTACTTGGTATTGTCATTTGAATAGGTGTATAGTTGTTTTGATTTGCATTTCCCTAATGACTTACATTGTTGAGCATTGATCATGCGATTATTTGTTATCTGTGTATCCACTTTTGTTTTTTGCCCATTTGTTGTTGTTGCTGTTTTGGCAGCTGGCCAGTACAGGTTTCAAACCCTGGACCTTGGTGTTATCAGCACCATGTTCTAACCAACTGAGCTAACTGGCCAGCTCCTTGCCCATTTTTTAAAAATTGGGTTGTCTGTTTTCTTATTGTTGAGTTTTGAGAGGAGCTAACTGGCCAGCTCCTTGCCCATTTTTTAAAAATTGGGTTGTCTGTTTTCTTATTGTTTTGAGAGTTTTTTTTTTATATATTGTAGATGCAAGTCCTTTGTTGAATGTGTGATTTCAAATACTTTCTCCCAGTTTGCATCTTGTATTTTCATTCTCTTAACAGTGCCTTTCTAGGGCAAAAGTTTTTAATATTGAAGTCCAGTTTATTACTTTTTTCTAATATGAGTCATTTGTTTGGTGTCATATCTAAAAATTTGTTGTCTAAGCTCAGTTCTTGAATATTTTCTGGGTTTTTTTGAAAGTTTTATAGTTTAACATTTTACACTTAGATCTGTGATTTATTTTAAATTAATTTTTGTATGAGGTGTGAGGCTTATGGTCATGGTTCATTTTTCTTGCATATGGATGTCCAATTTTTCCAACATTATTTGCTGAAAATACTAGCTCCATTAAATTGAGTTTGCACTTTTGTCAAAAATGAATTGACAATCAAAACCACATGAGATGCCCCAATAAGATGGCTATAATGAAAAGACAGTAACATATATTGGCAAGGATGTGGAAAAATTGGAACCCTCATACATTGCTAGTGGGAAAGTAAATTATTGGTGCTGCCACTTTGGAAAATAGTTTGGAATTTTTCAAAAAGTTAAACATTGAGTTACCTCATGACCCAGCAAAAAGTTAAGCATTGAGTTACCTAGTAATTCCACACCTAGCTAGTAGTATTTCTAAGTGAAATAAAAACATACATCTACACAAAAACTTGTATATGAATGTTAATAGCAGCATTATTTGTAATAGCCGCAAAGTGGAAATAACCCAAATGTCTATCAACTAATGAGTGGATAAATAAAATTTCATATATCCATACAGTGGAATGTCGTTTGGCAAATAAAAAGAAATGTACGTTGAAAACATTATGCTAGGTAAAGGAAGCCAGTCACAGAAGACCACATATTATATGGTTCCGTTTATATGAAATGTTCAGAGTAGGCAAGTTTATAAAGTAGACTAGTGGTTGCTTAGGACTGGGAAAGTATGGGGGAGAGAGGAGAGTGACTGCTTATGGGTTTGGGGATAAGAGTAGGCAAGTTTATAAAGTAGACTAGTGGTTGCTTAGGACTGGGAAAGTATGGGGGAGAGTGGAGAGTGACTGCTTATGGGTTTGGGGATATTTTAGGGGCAGTATCATAGCTGTAAAACCCTGTGAATATGCTGAAAACCATTGAATCATACATTTAAAGTAGATGAATTGTATGGCATGTGAATTATATCTTACAAAAATTGTAAAAAAAAAAAAAGAAATGAATTGACTATGTTTCTGTAGTTCGGTTTCTGGACTGTCATTCTCTTTCTTTGATCTATGTGTCCCTTTGCTGATACCACCCTGTCTTCATGACTGTAGCTTTATATTGTTTCTTAAAATTGGGTAGTATGAATCCTCTTAATTTTTCTTCCTTTTCAAAAATGTTTTGGCTATTCAAATTCCTTTGCCTTACAGTTTAGAAACAACTCGTTTGTATCCACAAGAAATTCTGGTGGGATTTTGATTGGGATTGTGTTAAATCTATATATCAATTTGGGGGAGAATTTGCCATCTTAAACTATCTTAAGTCTTCCAAGCTGTAAATACGGTATGTCTAGGATTTTGAATTCTTTCATCAATACCTTACAGTTTTTAAGCATGCAAATCATACAGTGTTGTAGATTTATATCTAAGTATTTCACTTTTTGTGGAGCTATTGTACATGATGGTATTTTAAAATTTTGGTCTCCAAGTGTTCTAATATATAGAAATATGATTTTTTAAAAAAATTAACATTGTATCCTGCAACCTTGCTAAACTAATTTTTCTGTTTTATGAACTTATTTTTTGGGTAGATTCCATAGGATAGTCTATGTAGACAATCATTTCTTTTGTTAGTAACAACAATTTATTATTCCTTTCCAATATGTATGTCTTTTATTTCTTTTTCCTGCCTTGCGGCACTGGCTAGGGCTTGCAGTATAATATTGAATAGAATGGTTAAGAGTAGGCATTCTTGCTTGGTAACTGATCTTCTGGGGGAAAACATTTAGTCTTTTACTGTTAAGTGTGGTGTTTGCTGTAGGTTTTTTTTTTTTTTTTTT